CTGCACCCCCACAAGGGATGTGGAGGAAGTCCCATCTGTCCCACAGCAGCTGCTACGCTCCAATTTTCTCTCATTGGAAACAGAATCCGGGATCAAAAATCTTGTCTGGTGATGTTCCCTGCACCTCCTAGAAGATCAAAAGGTGGAAGGAGACGTGCGCCAGCCGGGACTCGAACCCGGGTCACAAGGTTGGAAACCCTGCATGATGTCCCTACACCACTGGCACAGCTGTTGAGAGTCTGTCTGAAGAGAAGCAATACTTATATCCAAGGTTTCTCTTTTCCTATCTGGGTCTTGGAACAAAGGTATTCAATTACTGTCTAGCCAGCCCAGCTATGGATGCTCAGGAGGCGGGAGCGGAGATGGAGGCCTGTGCCAGGTCTCTGTGGCGCAATGGGTTAGCGCGTCTGGCTGTTAACCAGAAGGATGGTGGTTCGAGCCCACCCAGGGACGGCCACGGGTGCCCTGCCCCCTTGACGAGGTGGCCGAGTGGTGAAGGTGATGGACTGCTAATCCATTGTGCTCTGCACGCGTGGGTTCGAATCCCACCCTCGTCGGCACTTTTTCCTTCTGCTTGCGGGATTTCAGGGTGAAAGTACCTTCCTCTGTATATTGGAAGGGTGAAAAGCTAAGCTGTGTCACTATTTTTGCTGTTTTTCTGCTCCTTGTGAGGGAAAGTATTATTCCATATTCTTGTTTCTTTTTATCACTTGATCCTGCCGATTGAATCCATCGCTCCGATATTCTTGATTAATGTCTGTGCGCTCCAGACAAGCAGAACCATCAATCAGGGCACTTCTGTAGCTACCTAGTGGTCTCACATATTTAGAAATCACTTTTTTTTATAGAAATAGTCCTTGACTTGCAACAGTTCCATTTTGTGACTGTTCGAAGTTGCAACAGCACTGAAAACAGGACCGTTTTTCACACTTGCGACCCGTTGCACCATTCCCCCATGGTCACATGATCAAAATTCAGGTGCTTGGCAACTGACTCATATTTATAATGGTTGCACTACTCTGGGGTCATTTGATCCTCTTTTGCAACTTTCCAACAAGCAAAGTCAATGGAGAAGCCAAATTCACTTAACAACCTATTTACTAAGTTAACTGCAATGATTCACTTAATAGCCATGGCAAGAAAGGTTGTGGGTGCTTCATCACTGAAGGTTTTTAAGAAGAAACTGAGCTTATCTGGAATGGTATTGGGCAGGGGACGGCAACCTTAAACTCTCAAAGAGCCACAAAGGTTCTAACTGGAAGTCCCCCATTCAGTTCTGGAGCAGACTGGAAGTCCAGTTCCCCCACCATAGAGTCACCTCCTAGCACAGTGTCCTTTTTTCCTCTGCTGACCAAAAATCCGGTTCCCCCACCATAGAGTCACCTTCTAGTGCAGCGTCCTTTTTCCTCTGCTGACTGAAAATCCGGTTTCCCCACCATAGAGTCACCTCCTAGCATGGCATTTCCCCTCATCTATCTGCCCTAACTGAAAGCCCTATCAATTGTGGAGCCAATTGGCAACAGTGAGCCGCAGTAGAGGGAGGAAAGAGCCACATGCGGCTCCAGAGCCACAGGTTACCGACACCTGATATAGGGTCTCCTGTTTGAGCAGGGGCATGGACTAGAAGACCTCCAAGGTCCCTTCCAGCTATATTCTGGTTCTGATTCAGGTCATAACATGGGGCAAAGCTCACTTAATAAATGTCTTGCTTGGCAACAGAAAAATGCTGGTCCCAATTGCGGTTCATAAGTCAAGGACTCCCTGTATTTTCTTCCTCCTATTTTGCTGCCTGCTTCCTCTATTCAGTGTTTGTGTGCAGCATATTTAGAAAGGCAAGAAGTCCATAGGACACCTGGAAGAAGCATTGGGGACTAAGCATGAGGTGGGTTATTATCCCACAATGCCCGTAGAGCCAAGTAGGAGGTAAGGCAGATCCCCTGTCAGCCTTACCTCCCACTATTCAGCTTGCTTTCTCACCACCTCTTCATTGTCTAATTAGGGTAACAGCCTAATTGTTTCTTGCAGGATGGAACTGTACTACGCCTGAAACATCTCGTGTTTTTCTCTTGGATTCAGCAACTTCATTCTGTACCAAGAAGACAAATCTGTTCCGGCTGAGGCCAGAATGAAGGAACTTCTCAAAAGCCGTGGTGGTTAAACTGCAGTACTGCAGGTTAATTCTGCCGACTGCTAGCAGTTTGATTCTCACCAGCTCTGAGTTGTGTCAACCATTCCATTGACATACGCAGGGAAAAAACAACAACTCCTGGAATGTAATTTTACCAAGAGTATAACTTTACCAATAGATCCATATAGGCATGAAAGAAGCAAAGCCAATTCTAAAGGTTCCCACAGAAAGTGGCGTAGGCAAATTCCCACTTCCGGCCATCAACCATCCATTGTCCACCAAACCAATGCGTTCTTTGTGTTTTGGGAAACAGTCTGTGTGGTTTGAAAAAGTCTCAAAACAGGAAGCGTATGACTTTTGTCAGATTCAGCTGGCTCGCTTGGCTCCCTCAGCCCTCCCCACAACTGCCCCAAGGAGTTTCTGTTGTCAAATTGCAAGGAGAATTGAAGGTGGCAATAGAATCCGAGTCAGTCTTGACAGGTTGACTTCAGCCTGCCATGAGGGGTGGAGTTCTACAGGTTTGGACCGGTTCTATAGAACCGGTTGTTATGATTCTGCCCAGTTCGGAGAACTGGCAAATCGCACCACTGGCTGGTCCTGCCCTCCCCATCCACTCACTCCTTACCTGGCGTGCACGCCATCAAACTTGCCTGCTAAGTTGCTATTTTTCATTTCCCCGCCCCCGATCATCAGCTGTTCTGCTGTGCCAGAAGATTTAGATTAGCTAGAAAGCAGAAAATTGAAAGCTCTTGCTTTCTAACTAATCTAAAAGCAGAGCTGAACCTTCTTTAGGACTGAAGCTTCTATTTTTCAATGCAGACTCAGGCAGTAGATTGCAGAAAGGTAGATCTCTGAATGAATCTGTGATTCTGTGAGCAACTCAATCCGCCTGCCTGCTTTGCCTGATTTTGGGTAAAAAGTTGCTCTTTTTGTAATAAAAAATTCAATATTTGCACACATGGTGAATGGTGAGTTAATTTTGTGAGTTTGCTTACGAGCAAATTTTATGTGACAGACTCAGATAGCAGATTGCAGAAAGATAGATTTCTGAGTGAATCTGTGATTCTGCAAGCCACTCAATCTGCCTGCATGCTTTGCCTGATTTGGGGTAAAAGTTGCTCTTTTTTTAAAAGGCATTCAATATTTACATAAACATTTATATTTATATACAAGCCATGCCCAGCCAGTCACATGACCACCAAGCCACACCCACAAATTAGGACACACCCACAGAACCAGTTGCTAAGAAATTTGAATCCCACCCCTGCCTGCCATCCTTCTGAGATCGGTAAAGTAAGGACCCAGATTGTTTGCGAGAAGGGGGGGGGGCAATATGCTGACTCCATAAACTGCTTAGAGAGGACTGTAAAGCACTGTGAAGCGGTATATAAATACAAGCACTATTGCTATATGGATAGCCCTCAACCTACAACCATTTGTTTAATGACAGTTTGAAGTTACAATGGCACTGAAAAAAGTGACCCATGATCCTTCCTCAGAGTTACAACTGTTGCGCCCCCCGGCATGATTGGGATTTGTATGCTTGGCAACTGGCATCCTCTGCAGTCACGGGATTGTGATTTGCCACTTTCCCAGCCACCCTCCAACCAGGTCATATCAAAGGGACACCCAGTTTGCTTAACAAGCATGGGATTTAACAGGTGTTTAACAGATAATCAGAATTGGAAGGGACCTTGGAGGTCATCTAGTCCAACCTCCCCACCCAAGCGGGAGACCCTACACCATTTCTGACAAATGGCAGTCCAATCTCTTCTTGAAAGTCTCAAGTGATGAAGCTCCCACAACTTCCTTGGGCAACTTCTGTTCCATTGGTGGATTGTTCTCACTGTCAGAAAGTTTCTCCTTATTTCCAGGTTAAATCTCTCCTTGTTCAGTTTCCATCCGTTGTTCCTCATTTGGCCTACAGGCCCTTTAGAAAATAGCTTGACCCCTTTCTCTCTGTAGCAGCCCCTCAAATATTGGAAGACCGCTATCCTGTTTCCCCTGGTCCTTCTCTTCACTAGACTGGCCAGGCCCAGTTCCTGTAATCGTTCATTGTATGTTTTAGCCTCCAGTCCCTTAATCATCCTGGTTGCTCTTCTCTGTACTTTTTCTAGAGTCTCAATATCTTTTTTATAATGTGGTGAACAAAACTGGATGCAGTACTCTAAGTGTGGTCTTACTAAGGCTTTGTATTAGTACTTCCCTTGATCTTGACTATATCCCTCTGTTAATACAATTTAGGATTGCATTAGCTTTTTCGGCGGCTGCTGCACATTGCTGGCTCCTATTTAGCTGGTTGTCCACTAAGAGTCCAAGATCCCTCTCACAGTTACTGCTATTGAGCCTGGTTTCACCCAGTCTATATGTGTACTTTTGGTTTTTCTTGTCTAAGTGTAGGACTTTACTTTTCTCTACATTGAATTTCATTTTATTAGATATGGCCCAGTGTTCTAGTCTGTCAAGATCCATCTGGATCTTGAGCCGATTTACTTAACCGTTATGTCAACTCATAAAATATTCCTATGCCTGTTTTAGTAGTTGCCATAAAAAGGGGGGGATGGGGTGGGGAGGAAGGATATCTGGAAGAGCAGTTGAAAGGGAAAGTACATTCCAACTCTTATCTTTAAAAGACTGTAACTAAAATACCAGAGCTTTTGCCTGCAAATATATTTAATTGGAGAATGTGAATGATGACACCCAGCCTGTGAACATGCTCAATTGGAGAATCTGATTTATGAAACACCCAGGGGGGAGGGGGGAAACAGGGTCACAGGGTCACAGGCTGTAAATTACGTATGCCAGTTGGCTTCATACAGGGCAGTGCCAGTATGTCGCCTCCAATGAATCCTTTGAAGTTTTTTTGAAGTTTGGCTCGAGAATCCTGATTTCATTAGAGCGATTGCTGGAATCCTGACAGGTTGTGTGTTTCACTGAATGACCATGGCAAAAAAAAAAAAAAGGTCATAAAATTAGACAGGGTCACTTGAAGCCTCATTTAACAATCGCACCACTTAACGATGAATTTTCTGATCCCAATTTATTTAGCTAAGTGAACTTCCTTCTGCGTTTAATACGTTAACACAATACATTTCTCGCCAACCTCACGTGATTCAAACAAGGAGGACCAGCACTGAGGCTTGCGCCATGCTCGGAGTGCCGACCTCACAAGCCTTCTCCCCGTGGGTCCTTTTATGTCTGTCGAGGGCCGTCTTACGGGTGTAGCTTTTCCCACACTCCGCGCACCGATAGGGTTTCTCTCCTGTGTGGATCCTCCGGTGTCTGATGAGGTTGGATTTCCAGCTGAAACGTTCCCCGCAAACTGGGCACTGACAGGCCTGCTCCCCGGGCCGCGCTCTCCGAGTCACCTTTGGGAAAGTCCTCTGCCTGTGGCATTTGGCGCAGTCCCGTTCGCACTGGTGCGGCTTCTCCTCCTGGTGGTTCCTCTTGTGAGTCAGAAGGTCGATCTGGTGAGAGAATCGTTTCTCGCACTGGGAGCACCGGTAAATCTTCTCTCTTATGTGGGCTCTCTCGTGGGCCACCAAGTCTAAACTCTCCTCAAAGCACTTCCCACAATAGGAGCATGTATAGATCCGTTCGGTTGCCATCGGCGGGTCGTGATTCTCGGAACGATCGGTTCTCAGCTGAAGATTTCCAGAGAGATCAAAACTGGCCTCTCTTCCTTGGAGGGTTTTCACGGGTCCATTGGTAGACACCTCGTCACAAAACGAGGCTAAGTCAGACTTTGTATCCGGTAAGCTGTCCATATCCTGCTTACTTTTGAGACCCTCCTGAGCGTTCGGCTCTTGGGTGAATTTCCCCAGGGCTCTTTCCAATAACTTCCCGTTGGGATTTACCTCCTTCGGCTTTTCTAGCCGAAAACCATCCTTAGATTCCAGCGTTGAGTTACCTGATCCTGGAAAAAAAAAAAGAAACACAAAAGATAAGAGAACATACCGTAGTTGCATATAGGTAGCGCTTGATTTACAACAGAGGTGGGATTCAGCAGGTTCTGACCAGTTTTGGAGAACCGGGAGTGGAAATTTTGAGTAGTTTTAGAGAACCAGCAAATACCACCTCTGACTGGCCCCGCCCCCATCTATTCTCTGCCTCCCGAGTCCCAGCTGATCGGCTGGGTCTTCTTTGGTTGCCCTGCACAGGAGAACAGAGCTGGAAAGCAGGTTCGTGGGGTGGGAATGGGATTTTGCAGTATCCTTCCCCTGCCACGCCCACCAAACCACACCACGCCCACCAAGCCACGCCCACAGAACCAGTAGTGAAAAAAATTGAATCCCACCACTGATTTACAACCATTTATTTAGTGGCCATTCAAAGTTAACAACACTGAAAAAAAAAAAAAAAGACTTATAACCGGTCCTTGCACTTATAACTATAGCAATATTCCCCATGGCTATGAGATCAAAATCTGGGTGCTTGGCAACTGGTGGTAAGCATTCAAAATGGCTGCCGTGTCCTGGGGTCACAGGATCACCATTGGCGACCTTTCCAGCCAGCTTCTGTCAAGCAAAGTCAGTGGGAGAAGCCAGACTTGCTTAACGACCGACCACGTGATTCACTTAATGACTGAAGTGATTTGCTTAACGATCGTGATAAAAAACATTTGTAAAATTGGGATATGACTTTCTGGATGTGACTCCCTTTGGAACAAGCATCGTGGTTAGCAATGGACGTTCTGGTCTCAATTGCATCATGATTGCTCTATGGCAGGGGTCCCCAACCACCGGTCCCTGGACCGGTACCGGTCCGTGGAACAATTTCTACCGGGCCGCCAGTTTGCTGGGTGCCGCCATCTTGTTTTGATGAAAAAGTGCTTCCGGTGAGCTTTTCCGGGTAGAAAGCGGCGTTTGGGTGCTGAAAGAATCCTCGCGCCTTAGTTTCATTATGGGGGGAGTTGAGTTCTGATTGATTCCTGATTGAGTTGAGCTGATATAGAATGAACTCTGCTGCTGATCAGAGGTTTCTGGTTTTTAAAAAACATTTTCTCCGGTTTTAACAGTTTTATTAGTTTATTGTCAAGTCATAAAATATTTCTATGGTCTTTTTAGAGTTGGCAACAGAAAGTGGGGGTGGAACAGCGCAGCAGTTTGCAAAACCGAAACTGTGTTCCGTAAATGTTTGCAAAGATAGTAACTAGTTGACCAGTTTCTGCCATGCAAAATTCTAATTGGAGAACATGACTGAAGACTCTGGGCTATGGATGTGTCCCATTGGAGAATATGAATTATGATACACCCAGGGGGTGGGGGGGAAAACCAGGGTCAAGGGTGGCAACGAATGATGTGTCTCAGAGTCGGCTACACCCAGGCAGTGCCAGTCCAATAAATCCTTTTTACGTTTTGGAAGTTTGGCTCGAGACTCGTGATTTAAATGGGGGCAACTGCCAGAATCCTGACACTTATAATATAAAATACAAAAATAAAAAACCAAGCGGTAGGTAACAAAAGTGAGGGAAAAGGGAAAGAGAGAAGCGTAGAGAAGGGGAAAAAAGAAAAAAAAAAGGCATTGATTTCCGACTCCCTCCAGTGCAATAGAATAAAGCATTAACATCTAAGCTCAAGTTTGTACTTTTCCATAATAATATAAACTAGCCATTTCTATAACAACAGATCTATCTGATCAGTAAAACCCAAAAGCAAAATTTCATTTATTTCCACCTCAAGCACAAAATCCAGCAGCCGTTTTCAAGTAGAAACAAAAGTACTTCTATTCTTTTCTTTGATCAAAACAGCCGGTTGAGCCACCTCTGTCAACTCCATCAACTTTTGCAGCCATTTGTCCATTGTAGGAATTGAAATATCCTTCCTACTGTACATTTGTGCATAAAATAGTCTTGCTGCCATCAACATACATAACATCTAAGTTCCAATTTCCCCCCCATCCCAAGTCTCTTTCTATTAAGCCCAAAAGACAAGTTTCAGGTTTTATCTTTATATTCACTTTAAGAATTTTCGGTATTAGAGTATGAATCCTACTCCAATATCTTTTGGCTTTTATCACATGTCCACCATAAATGGTAAAAGGGCCTTTCTTTATATTTACATTTCCAACATTCATTTGAAATACCTTTATACATTCCGGATAACTTGTCTGGTATTAAATACCAGCGATACACCATCTTCAAGAATTGTTCTTTTAAATTGTAATTGAATGTAAATTTTAAACCTTCCGTTTGGTTTTTAAATGGATTACGGGCCGTATTTATATATTGATATATTAGTCTTTATCTTGTTTTTATTGGATTTTTTAAAAACCAGTTGTTAGATGCCCAGAGTTGCCATTTGAAATGGGCAGCCAAATCAATTGGGGGAAAAAAATTTAATAATGTGTACCATATTTTTTGTACTATAAGATGCACCTGACCATAAGACGCACCTAGGTTTAGGAGAGGAAAGCAGGCAATGACAAAGACGGAGGAAGTGGGGTTCAGCACTGTAAAAGGACCCCACCGCCACGGCTGGTATTTTTTGCTCCATAAGACGCACAGACATTTCCACCCACTTTTTTTTTGGGGGGGGGAGTGCATCTTAGGGAGCAAAAAAATACAGTATTTTATTAATGTTTATAATAATAAAAATGTCAGAAAAATGTTGTGGTTCCCCGACAGCCTGTACAGACAGCAGCGGAATCGGACAGTGGGAAAGAACAGGGACCAATCAGGGCGTCTGGGGAGGACTCGGACGAGGGTCCTGCGTCCAACGCTGAGATGGGAGTGGGGTGCTGAGTCTGGAGCCTTCAGAATCTGGCAGCAGCAATGCCGAGGACCCAGGGGAGCCTGTTGCCAGTGCGCGTATGCGCAGAGATGCTAGAAGGCAAGAGCAGCTGAGACAAAAGGGGCAACTCGGGAGTAAGGCTTGGAGGTGATTGCCCCTCCCATAAGGGATAAAGGATAGGCAAAGGTGATGAAAGCTTTGCAGGAAGCAAAGTCATTTGCTCTGTTTGGATTAAACCTTGAAGCTCTGTGGGGACTTTGTACTTCGATTGGTTTTTTTTCTAGTTCATTTGGCCCTCTAATTGTTGGTAGCAATTCAAAGGAAAGGTGGGTGCTTATCTCGAGGGACTGTTTGGGACTCATTACAGGCTGGGAATGAACATAATTCCCAGCGTTGAAATAAAACAAGAGTTGTTTTTTAACTAAGCATGTGCTTAATTACGATCTCAGGAAGCCTTGGTCAGAACAGGAAAATAATAAATAATAATAATAAAAACATCCTGTGACAATTTTTTTAAAAAACAACAACATAAAACAACATCTGCCTCTCCGGGGACCTTGGGAAGAACTTGTTAGTTGGATTAAACATGCCAAATCCAGTTTAAACATCTGGCTGCAACCAACCATAATAGTAACAAAGTGGTTCTGGGGCTTGTGTGTTCTAAGAACCATGCCAGAGATTCAACGTTACGGTACATAAACCGGAAGCACCACCATAATTCTGGAACACACCTGAACCTGGCCCCTGATAGGCCTTTCCCAGGGAGTCAGCTTCTTGGGTGGCCTCCATCCTATGTAGCATCTTCACTCTGCCCGATGGTTCCTGCATCGGTGTGGAGGAATTGATGTCTGCCAGAGGCTTCCTTACCTGAAAGAGAAAGAAGGCAATGCAGCCATGATTGCGAAGTTGGGGGAGAAAACCAAATACTAGGCCCTAAACCAGTGATGGTGATTTTTTTGTGTGTGTGGTGTGCCCGCATCCACAATGCAATGCGCCTCACACACACACACCCCGCAAATGCGTACATAACACCCCTCCCTTAACTGCACTGTACATGCACGCACCTCAACTGATTTTTGGCCCATTTGAGGCCATTTTTGCCCTCCCTGAGATTTGAGGGAAACCTCTGCAACTTCAGGAGGCCGAAAAATGGGCCTTCTGAAAATACCGGAAGTGCCCGTTTTCAGCCTCCGGAGAGCCTCTGGAGTCTGGGGCAGGCCGTTTTTGCCCTCCTGGAGGCTCGAGGGAAACCTTGGGAGCCTCAGGAGGCTGAAAAGTGGTCTGTTTCAGCACATCCGGTATTTCAGGAACACCTGTTTTTCGGCCTCTGGAGGTTGCAGAGGCTCCCCTCGAGTCTCCAGGAGGGCGAAAATGGCCTCAAACAGGCTGAAAATCAGCTGGGAGGCGTGCACATGCGCAGTGCAGGTAAGTTTGGCTGGGGCTCGTGTGCCCACACAAATGGCTCTGCCTGCCACCTTTGACATGTGTGCCATAGGTTCGCCATCATGGGCCTAAACTGTCCTCATCTATACCCCAACCTTCCCCCTCTAGAGCATTTTGCACAATCGGGACAACTAACCCAAGCAACAAAAAGAAGGCTGGCGTCTTCTCTCCATCATTAAAAGCTTTAGTATCTTATCATTCCTCTAAGACAGGGGTATCAAACTCAAGGCCTGGGGCCAGATCTGGTCTGTGGAGCTGCCCTGGAAACAGCAAAGCACTGGCTCGTGGTGCTTCTACCAACGAAAACGGAGAATGGGAGGGCCGCACGGAGTTCTGTTTCCAGTGGCAGAGGCTGCAAGAGGCTGTTGCGGCCGAAAATGGGACTCAGAGGGACATGTGCGGCCCACCTGAGCTCTGTTTTTGTGGGCAGAGGGCTGCAGGAGGCTGTTGCGGCTGAAAACGGAGATTGGGAGCCTCTTTTCGCTGGCAGAGCACTCGGGCCACCACAGGCGCCCCGACATGAGTGACGTCAAGATGGCCACGCCCACCCTGGCCATGCCCACCCCAGCCCCTGAGGTCAAACACAACCCTGTTGCAGCCCTCAAGGAAATATTAAGGTTGAGCATGCTAAGAAAGAGGATTGAAAATGGGGGTGGGGAGCAAAGGTTATATAAGGGGTGACAAACTCAAGGCCCATAGGCCAGATCAGCCTGTGGGGTGCTTACATCTGGCCCATGGGGCCGCCCTGGAAACAGCGAAGGATTGGTCTGCGGTGTCTCTGCCAGTGAAAATGGAGCTTGGGAGGCTGAGCTTTGCTTTTGCTGGCAGGAGGCCATTGCCGAAAACTGAGCTCGGGAGCCTGTTTTCGTTGGCAGAGCACTCGGGCCATCCCAGGTGCCCTGACATGAGTGACGTCAAGCTATGCCCATCCTGGCCATGCCCACCCCAGCCCCCAAGGTCAAACAACCCTGATGCGGCCTTCAAGGAAATCAAGTTTGACACCCCGCTCTCACGACCCGGTTCCGAAAGGCCTAATAGTACGCCACGGACCAGGGGATCCCTGCTTTAAGAAGCTCAAGTTACAATTTATCAAGTATAGCACCGTGAAGAAGTATATAAGACAAAATGCTATTGTTATATCCTGACTTTTATCTTCTGTAGGAAGCCCCCCCATTCCCAGATTAAAACATCTGGCAGCATCCTTTAAAATGTTACAGGACACATTCTTACACAGGAATAGGCACCTCAGTCACAAAGTCCCCAAAGATGTATAAAAGCCCATCTAACTCAACCTCATTTTGTCAGTCACCCCAGAATCATGCTGCTGTCACTGAAGTTTCTGGCTATTAAACAAACAGACCTCCTTTCCAAAATGCAGCCTGCCTCTATTTTATTCTCAGCGTCTTTCTCCTGGCTTGGAATTGGACCAGTTTTTCTTTCCAACACTTCCTATCAATCCTGGGAGGTAAGTTTGATGTCCCCCTCAAAGTCCACTTGAACTGCGTCTACCCTTTCTTGGCTCAATCTTCTAATACCATGATGGCGAACCTAATGCGGGTGTGCCACAGGTAGCATGGAGAGCCATTTGTGCTGGCACGCAAGCAAACTTACCTCACTGCGCATGCGTGTGCCTCACAGCTGATTTTCGGCCGGTTTGAGGCCTTTTTCAGCCTCCCAGAGGCTGGAGGAAGGCTTCTCTGCAGAATTTGCAGGCTGAAAACTAGGCCCGTTTCATCACTTCTTGTTTTTCTGGAAATACCGGAAGTGATGAAACAGGGCTAGTTTTCGGCCTGCAAAGCCTGCAGAAGCCTTCCTCAAGCCTCTGGGAGGCCGAAAAAGGCCTCAAACCGGCCGAAAAACAGTTGTGAGGCACAGTGCAGGTAAGGGGGCGGTGGGAGGTAGGGATTGCACGTGCATGTGTAGGGGGCGTGGGGGGCACGCATTGCCTTCTGGGTGCTGGCACGTGAGCACGAGTGTGCAAGCACATGCAGTTTTTGGCACAGGAGCCTAAAAAGGTTAGCCACCACTGCTCTAATACAATGTTTCTTCCCCGTATCAACTTAAGGATATGTGAACTTCAACTCCCAGAATCATGCTAGCTGGGAAATTCTGGGAGTCGAAGTCCAACATCTTAAAGCTGATAAAATTGAGAAACACTGCTCTAACAAATATACCAGGCTGGCTCTTACCTATCAACGTACCTTTCTAGCCAATGTGTATAGCTGCCCATCTTACAAGAGGTGACTCTGGGTAATACTACATTGAAATAAAACCAACAATTAAAATACAATAATTCCTTCCTCTTATCTTCTCTGAAATGATGGAAACAACCCAACATTTCACAAATTGAGGGAGCTAGGCAACATCATTCGTGTGTGTGTGTGTATGTGTATGTGTGTGTTGTCAGCAACTCTTGAGTAAGCAGCTTTGAGTGGAAGGGCTGACCCTTTGACACATTGCAATGTAAGCCCCACCCCTTTTCTAGATGTCACAAAGGGGTGGAGCTTTCTGGCCAATGTTGCAATGTGACTTTTGCCACGCTGAAAAAAACTGTAGAGATGCTAGGATGGCTTGGACTCAGAAGTGCAGGTGGTCCTCAACTTACGACCACAATTGATTTCCAAATTACTGTTGTTAAGTAAGCCATTTAGGTAAGCTTTGCCGCCATTTCTTTATCAACCTTTCTAGCCACAGTTGTTAACTGAATCACTGTGGATAACTTAGGAACCCGGCTGTTAAGTGAAGCTGAGACAGCTAAGACGCTGAGCATGTCGATCAGAAAGGCAGTTCGGTGGTTCGAATCCCTATGACCAGGGGTCCCCAACCACCGGTCCCTGGATCGGTACCGGTCCGTGGAACAATTTCTATCGGGCCGCCGGTTTGCTGGGCGCCGCCATCTTGTTTTGATGAAAAAGTGCTTCCGGTGAGCTTTTCCGGGTAGAAAGCGGCGTTTGGGTGCTGAAAGAATCCTCCCGCCTTAGTTGCATCGACAGGGGTGCGCGGCTTCGAACAAAACTAAGGCGCAAGGATTCTTTCAGCACGCATGGCAAAGCGAGCCGAGCGACCGTCCCGAAGCCCATCGACACAGGTACAAAGGAGGAGTTGAAGGTGGCAAGGAGAAGCGGGGGACGGCTGGCCGGCCGGTTGTTTGGCTCGCCTTGCCATGCGTGCTGATGCCGGTACCGGGCCGCGGATGATTTTGTGATGCCGGTACCGGGCCGCAGATGATTTTGTGATGCCGCTACTGGGCCGCAGCACAAAAAAGGTTGGGGGCCACTGCCTATGACAACTCAAAAATATTTCTCTGGTCTTTTAAAGTGGTCAGCAGAAAGGGAGTTGGGGGGGGGGTAATGCATACCTTAAATATTTTCATAGATAATTTACTAGGCGACTGAAGCTTCTGGCGCGCAAGATTATTACTGAAGAGCATGATTGATGACTCTAGGCTATGGATGTGTCCCATTGGAGAATGTACATCCAGAGGGTGGGGGAAGACCAGGGCCAAGGGTGAGATGAATGATGTGTCTCAGAGTCAGCTACACCCAGGTAGTGCTGGCATGCTCACTCCTAATAAATCTTTTTTTTCAAAACTCTGAGAGGTACAGCTAGAGACACATGATTTGAATGCGGGTAGATTGTCAGAGCCCTGACAGCTGGTTTTCCCATTCCCTTTGCTGGTCGGGAAGTCGCAAAAGGGAATCCCATGACCTTGGGGCACTGCAACCATCATAAATAGGAACCGGTGGCCAAGCCCTTGAATTTTGATCACGTGACCCTGGGGATGCTTCAGTGGTCATTAAGTGTGAAAAACGGCCGCAGGTCATATTTTTCAGGACCATGGTAACTTTGGTCACTCGATGAACTGTTGCTAAGTTGAGGACTGCCTGGATAGATTCTTTGAAAAAAACGGGCCCTGGCCAACATATGGCTTACTCTTTTACACCCATTCAACCTCCCCCAAAAGGAGGGAGCATCATGCGCACTGTCAACTCGTAAAACATTCCTATGACGGTTTGAGTAGTTACCCCCCCAAAAGAAAGTGGAGGGAGGAAGAAAATCTGGAAGAGCAATTGAAAGCAAAAGTACATTCCAACTCTTATCTCTAACAGATTGTAGCTAAAGTACCAGAGCTTTTGCCCGCAAATATATTTAATTGGAGAATGTGATTGATAACACCCAGCCCGTGAACGTGCTCAATTGGAGAATCTGGTTTATGAGACACCCAGGGGGGCAAGAGGGGAAACGGTGTGACAGGGGACCGTAAATTATGTATGCCATAGTTAGCTTCATATAGGGCAGTGCCAGTAGGTCGCCTCTAATAAATCCTTTCAAGTTTTTTGAAGTTTGGCTCGAGAATCATGATTTAATTAGGGCGATTGCTGGAATCCTGACACACAGATTTACCCGTGCAAGACAAACGGAAGAATACTTGCAGAAACAGCAGAGACTATAGGACAGTGATGGCTAACCTTTTAGGCACCAAGTGCCCAAAGTGCGTGCGTATCCCCATAATGCAATAAGTGCACCTTCCGTGCATGTGTCCCCCCCATGCATGCGTCCTGCCTCCCACGCATGCACAACAGAGACCCAAAGACCAGCTGGATGGTGGGAGGTACGGGCACACATGCGCTACAGAGCTGAGCTGGGGCGACGGCTTGCACACCCACAGAGAGGGTTCTGCGTGACGCCTTTGGCACATGTGCCATAGGGTCACCATCACAGCTATAGGACGACAGCAGAACAGCCCAAAAATGAAATTTCAGTTCAATGTAATGGCCGTTGATATAACCCGGGGATGTCAAACTCCATTTCACTAAGGGCCACATCAGGATTTTATTTGACCCTGGAGGGCTGGGGTGGGTGGGGCCGACTTGACGTCAATCATGCCAGGGGCACTTGTGGTGGTCCGAGCGCTCTGCCAGTGAAAATGGGCTCCAAAGCTCAGTTTTCGACTGCGACGGCCTCCTGCAACCCTCTGCCAGTGAAAACAGAGCTTGGACTCCCGAGCTCCATTTTCACTGGCAGAAGCACCGTGGGCCAATCCTTCGCTGTTACCAGGGCAGACCTGCAGGCCAGATATAAGCACCCCACAGGCCGGATCTGGCCCGTGGGCCTTGAGTTTGACGCCCCTGATTTAAAATTTGCTCCCCCTCCCCTCATTTTCAATCATCTCTCTTTCTTAGCATGCTCAACCTTAATATTTTGGGGGAGCCTTCGGAACGATCGCGAGGGCAGTGGTTGCCGAACGGGATAAGACTCTCACTTTTTCTTCCAGTCTGCCTTGGGCCTCCCCGTTCAGGCTCTCCTCTTCAAGCCCAAGCTCCGTGTTTACATTCACGGGGTCAGCGAAGCTGGGGAAGATTTCCCCGCTAAAGCCGAAACGGGTCTGTAGCACACCCGCTTCATCAGCTCCGGCTTCCAAACATTTGGGGGGTTCTCTAAATTCCAAGGATGGGGGAGAAAACGCCATCAACTTCAAGGAATACTGGCACTCCTGCTCGGGCCCAGCGGCCGCACTCTGCTCCACGCTGCGCCAAGTCTTTAGCTCGCTTTCAGTGGGGCGCTGGAAAAGGAGGCGGCTTTTCCCTTCTCCGTCTTCTGCTTTCTGCTCAAGTTGATCAGTTGCTCCTGCCCTCTGGTCCTCGGGACTTATTTCTGGCTGAAGCTCCTGGACTGAGATGGAAAAGCTTTGCTGGTAAATTTAGGCAAGAGCATTGCCCCCATTCCCAGGTCAAATCCATGGGAAAAAAAGAGGGAGGGAAAGATAGAGAGAAGGAGAGACAAGGGGAAGAAGGCAGGAAGAGAAGGAAGGAGAAGAGGAAGGGGAGAGAAGAGGAAAAGAGAGGGAGGAACAGGGGGAAGCAAGGGAGGAAGGGAAGAAGGAGAGGGGAGAGAGAAGAGGAAAAGAGAGGAAGGGGAGAGACGGGAAGAAAGGAGAGAATGGGAGAGAGAAAGAGGGAGGAGAAAGAAGCAGAGAGGTGGGGAGAGAGAAAGGAAAGAGGGAGGGGAGAGGACAGAAAGAGAAGGGAATACCGTGTTTCCCCGAAAACAAGACTGGGTCTTATATTAATTTTTGCTCCAAAAGACACATTAGGGCTTATTTTCCGGTTAGGTCTTATTTTGGAGGAGATATGGTACTAAATGCGCCCGTCTGGCTGATGAGCTTAACTAGGGCTTATATTTGGGGGGGATAGGGCTTATATGAAAAAACCATGCTAGGGCTTATTTTCTGGGCTGGGTCTTCTTTTGGGGAAAACGCGATAGTAAAAGGGAGTGGGAGGGAGCGATGGCAGAAGGAGAGAGAGATGAGAGAGGGAGAAGGAAATGAGGGGAGAGAAAAGGGGAAGGGGAGAGAGGAGGATATAAGGCAAGAGGTGGGGAAGGGGAGAAAGGAGAGAGGGAATGGTGGGTAAAAGAGGGAGAATAGGAATCTGACTCTGTAAAACCCAATTCAGAAAAAAGCAGCTGTCGGGAGCGGCCAACCCACACTCTCAGGCAGCACCCGGCCATTTCCCAATCTCTTTGCAACCTCTTCACTGCCAGCCACACCCTTTTTTGGGGAGGTGGGGTGGATGGGGGGAAGGAGGAGGGAGAAAATTAGCTGTCATCTTATTCTAATTAATAACCCCCAAAAGAAACTACATCCAAGATCTGGCGGGGGTGGGGGGCGAATGTAACTGTGCAACAAGATTCAGCTGCGGGGGGATCTGGGCCAGCCGAGGTTTCAGGCAGAAGCTGGAACGGTTTCTACTGGAAACTGTGGTGAAGGAAGGAAGGAAGGAAGGAAGGAAGGAAGGAAGGAAGGAAGGAAGGAAGGAAGGAAGGAAGGAAGGAAGGGGGAGGGAGGGAAGGAAGGAAGGAAGGTAGCAAGGAAGGAGGGATGGAAGGAAAGAAAGGAGGGAGGGAGGGAGGAAGGAAGGAATTAGTTTCAGCAATAAGTTTTGGGAAGGATGGATGGATGGAAGGAAGGAAGTAAGTAAGTAAGTAAGTAAGTAAGTAAGGAAGGAAGGAAGGAAGGAAGGAAGGAAGGAGGGAAGGAAGGAATTAGTTTCAGCAATGAGTTTTGGGAAGAAGGGAGGGAGGGAGGCAGGGAAGGAGGGAGGAAGGAAGGAAGGAAGGAAGGGGGAGGGAGGGAAGGAAGGAAGGTAGCAAGAAAGGAGGGATGGAAGGAAAGAAAGGAGGGAGGGAGGAAGGAAGGAAGGAATTAGTTTCAGCAATGAGTTTTGGGAAGGGAGGGAGGGAGGAAGGGAGGGAGGGAGGGAGGGAGGGAGGAAGGAAGGAAGGAAGGAAGGAAGGAAGGAAGGAAGGAAGGAAGGAAG